CACGCACGCACGCACGCACGCACGCACACGCATTCATCCACAAGATAGTATATATTTTTTCTATAGATAATATATATTTTTTATGTAAAGAGAAGTTATAATGTACAAAACCCTTTGTTTATTATTTTATTAATAAATGTAACTTAAGATATTCCTCTGTCTTTTATTAACATCACCTCTCGCATTCACTTCCCTCGAATACCTGAGATCGCACGAGGTCCAGTCTCGGGTCAAAGGAATTAAGTTCCTTGACCGAAAAAGTAGGACCGACGTTCGCAATCCAGCGGAACAGGTGTCATAGCGTCCCTTCGGACGTTGACCCACATTCCGGGACTTAAAAGTGCATACGACACAGATGTTCACCTCCGCGCGTATACCTGTGAGATTGTGAGTCTGATCCTTCCATATCCTCTCCATTCTCCCTCATTGTTTCCTTGACCAAATTTTCAAGGGTTTGGACGTAACAATTACAAATAGTGTTCAAAAGACAATCAATGTTATGGATCAATGCGAAGGTCACGAAACAACTCAGTATATAAAGCACGATTGTGTGCTAAAGGTTTTTCGCAAAAACCTGGCGATGACTTCGATGAAATATACTCACCTGTAGTGAGATATGATTCAATACGCTTGTTGCTTACTATCGCGAAGATCGAGAATTTGGAAATGCGAAAATTTGATATCAAAACTGCCTTCATGAATGGTAAAGTCAAAGAAGAATTATACATGAAAATTTCTGATGATATAAGTGCAGATCGTAATAAAGTATGCTAATTAAATAGATCAATATACGAATTAAAGCAAGCAGCAAGATGCTGGAACGATTGGTTTAACGATTTTATGAGAAAATTTAATCTAAAGCAAAGCGAGTCTAACAAATGTGTCTATTTTGGCGATTACAAGGGAAGAAAGATCTATCTGGCCTTACATGTTGATGACGGGCTCGTGTAGCGGATTGTACTACTGTAATCAATCATTTCTTTACCGAACTACGAAACACATTTGATATTTCATAGTTCGTAGACGGAGCAATTACATGCTTCGAAACATCAAGCGACAGTAAGTCTAAGCACGACTGAGGCGGAATACATAGCAGCGAACATCGCAATTAAAGAATGTATTTGGTTAGGTAAAATTCTTACCGAATTAGGAATCAGATAACAAGGCAATCACTTTGTATGTTGATAATCAGAGCGCAATCAGATTGATTAAGAATATCATAATCACACGAAATATATCGATGTAAGGTTTCATTATACGCGAGAAATATGAAAGTCGATAAAAATTATATACGTGCCCTCTGATGATCAACTCGCAGATATTTTCACTAAGAGTTTCGTGAGAAATAGATTCAAATTCTTGCGATCCAAAATTGATGTTAGAAGAATTAAACGGTTAGTGATAATACTTGGAAAATGGGAGTGTTAGAAATTATGATATTTTTATGTTCCGCGTGTTATGTGCGCAATGTATGATTATAATCTTATCATATAAGTAGGTTTTATTTTTCAGGAAGTTATGATATTGCACGCAGCGCGACGTTATTGCTCTTCTTACAGCTCTTACTTCTTATCGAATGTGTCGATCGAGACGTTGTGTGTATGAATAGTTAGTTCGTCACGAGGCTTGTATCTAATAACAGCTTCTTTATTTTAGTAGACTCTTTGTTATTATTCCACAAATAACCCAACAGAAATATTGTTGGAAATACATAAATTTATCTTACAATTGTTTATAAAATTTAAATCAACGGATAATTCCTTTTATTAATTTCATTGTCCTTTCCAAAAAACTATTTTCGCATTTTAATGAAATGTTTTTATTCTTTGTTCTTCTAAAAGAAATTCTAATTCTGCAGTTTTCAGGACTTTCACAGCGTTATAGGTTCCAGGACAGCATATTTTTCCAGGTTATCGTCTAGAACGATTAAGAGGTAACACATTTTCCAGGACACAGACTAGAATGGCAGCTTCCGGGATAAAACATTTTTCAGGACACTGACTGAAATGGCAGTTTCCGGGATAACACATTTTCCAGGATACTGACAAGAACGGCAGCTTTCGAGACAATACAAAATCTTTCTAGGACATCTTCGGCAAGAATAATTGTTTCAGGTGCGTTTCGTTATTCACACATAATGCAATACCTAAACCACTTGACTGTATATACAAAATGTTTCGTAATGGAATAGTAATTACTAATTCTGGATCCTTGTGATTAGTTTAAAACTTTATTATTCAAAGATGTTAGAGCTGTCTGAAAAAGAAGTTATATTATAAAAATTAAATGTTATAACCTTGGTATCTTGATATTAGTCTTTTACAATTGTCTCA